ATTAATTATGAAGATATTATTCAATAATTAATGTATTATAAAGTGTGCAGCCTTATGGCGCGAAATTTCAAAAATCGGTTTTTTCTTTTTTCTAATATTCATACGTTTGTCTTCTACAGCATTTCAATGCCTAAGACCTTTGACTCCCACTTTTTTCTCTTTACCACTTAACATCTACATCTATACCTGTGCATGTACATGAATATTGTATCACACGTGTATGGCTATGTAAAAAATTACTTACCTCGCAATCTGTTTATCTCTTAATCCAAATTACTTTTTTACAGAGATCCCAGAGTATCAAGTTCTAGTGATTGCATACACACGAGCCACTTTGTACTCTTTGTTGCATTTTTCAGTAAATATTTAAGCCCAGGCGACATTTAAAAAATTCTAAAAATTTGGGGGCATCCTATAGGGTTGTATACAATAACTTATGGAATTTTTTTGTGCCGAAAAAAGTGACATTAATATTAAATGTTGTTATGGCTAAGTTAACTATATAAGCCAAATACCTTAACGAGGTATCAGTTGATGGTGCTTTCTTCCTCCAGTTTTAATTAGTATAAGGGCAGTACGCTCCATAACTCAAGATTTAATCGAAATGCAATATTCTCAATAAAAAGATGTACAGCCGGCCACTACCACCTAGCAGCTTTCTATTTCAGGGTCAATATTGCAGATGAGACTTTATGCACTGAATGAGGAGAGTGTAATAATCTTGACTATCTTATATGACAATGCCCGCTCTACAATGACCAAAAACTAATATGGATAAAAAATGTTTGTAGATCTAAAGTTCAATTATCATCAAACATTGACAATATCTTGTATTATTCGAACTCTACGTTTTGTTTTTGGGTGAGGTTGTTAGATATAATTAGTCGATCAGTGTAAAAGTTTATATGTATGTTTTGTTACAACTTTTAAATAAAAATAATAGCAGATGTAAGACTCTAACGTGTCTTGAAATTCTTAAATAAAAAAAAGGTGGCATGCTGGGAGCCCAAGTGTCTGTGTCGATTAAAGCCAGTTGCATAATTTACTATGAAGTTGTTAACTGTATTGTTACCATTATTAAAAAAAAATATTTTATGCTTAATTCAGTGCCTCAAGCAAGGTGAAAACATTGAATTAGAATTCAATTATTTTTTTATCCAGTTAAATAAAATTTATATGTCTATCATGAAATAATATAATATAGTATAGTATTTTGTATTTAATGTTACCTGTAAAAATAACATTGACGGTATTCTTATCACAAAATATTGAAGTAGTTTATAAAGGAGGTTCAATGATTTTCTTAAAATGCAGAGAAAATAGTAAAACTTTTGTAGTAAACCAATAACTATTTAGCGTATCAAGAAACCGTGTGAATTTTTTCAACATTTTTCTACCACAAATTTTTTTACTTATGAATAACAGTCTATAAATTCATTGCTGTCATTTCAAAACATGTAGGAGATTAAATTTCATCACTAAAAAATTTTGTTTTACTCCAAAAAGCAACCGATCTTCAATTTATGCTCACTCTCGGGTTAAGTTTATTAATAGAAATAAAGCACAATAGGGGTGAAATTTATCGATGAAAAAATTTTTAAACAAAATTTCTTCAAAAAGACTTGTTTGAATATAGAATATAATAATCAGTGATTATTTGACGGTGCTCATAAGAAAAATGAAAAAGACTTCTCTATTATTTGTAATCATAGTTCTAAAGATTACGAACTTTGTTGTGCCTGAGGCACCTGCTATTGCCGTATAATATAGTCCTTAAAAGGCTGTCTGGTGCAGCGAAATGTTGGCCAAAAATTTTTTTCTCCACAAAAAGATTACAGTTATGTTGTGTCTTATTTTTGTTGATAATAAAAAATTTTCCTATCTCGGGCATTTTTGAGAGGCTGGTAATAACCCCGGAAACAATGGCACTTATCCAACGAAAACAACTATTGTGATTTGAAATGCTGGCAAAATTCACAGTTCCATGAGACTTTAAATAATTCTTGTTCTTTATTTCCTTACCATGGGCACGAAATACAACTACCGCTTGGCACCGTCAGGGCACATTTTGCGCCATTTCAATCATTTTACGCCCGCAGGTGCAAAACTGCACTTTGCACCCAGGGTAAGAAAAACGTTATACGCAACTCACGCACCAATGTAAAACAACCGTGCTCTTAAGGCGCTCATGTTTGTACTTTGTGCACTAGTGACAGAATGTACTAATTTAATGTTTCATCTAAATTTTAAGAAAATCATTGAACCTCCTTAAGCAGCTATATAATTTTAATATAATATTATTATTGCCTAAGCAAATAAGCTGAGTTGGGATCATTTTCGTACAAACACCACATGTGGGATTGTTTGCGTCCAATCGCGACGTGGTGGGATCATTGTCGTCCGAACGCCGCAAGTTGGGATTGTTTTCGTCCAAACGCGACGAGGTGGGATTGTTTTCGTCCGAACGCAACGAGGTAGGATCATTTTCGTCCGAACACGACGAGGTGAGATTTTTTTCGTCCAATCGCCACGAGTTGGGATTGTTTTCGTCCAAACGCCACGAGTTGGGATTGTTTTCGTCCAAACGCGACGAGTTGGGATTGTTTTCGTCCAAACGCGACGAGGTGAGATTGTTTTCGTCCAAACGCGACGAGTTGGGATTGTTTTCGTCCAAACGCCACGAGTTGGGATTGTTTTCGTCCAAACGCCACGAGGTGGGATTGTTTTCGTCCGAACGCAACGAGGTGGGATCATTTTCGTCCGAACCCGACGAGTTGGGATTGTTTTCGTCCAAACGCCACGAGTTGGGATTGTTTTCGTCCAATCGCCACGAGTTGGGATTATTTTCGTCCGAACACGACGAGGTGAGATTTTTTTCGTCCGAACGCCACGAGTTGGGATTGTTTTCGTCCAAACGCCACGAGTTGGGATTGTTTTCGTCCAAACGCCACGAGTTGGGATTGTTTTCGTCCAAACGCGACGAGTTGGGATTGTTTTCGTCCAAACGCCACGAGTTGGGATTGTTTTCGTCCGAACGCAACGAGGTGGGATCATTTTCGTCCGAACCCGACGAGTTGGGATTGACGAGTTGGGATTGTTTTCGTCCAAACGCCACGAGTTGGGATTTTTTTCGTTTGAACGCCACGAGGTGGGATCATTTTTGTCCGAACCCGACGAGTTGGGATTATTTTCGTTCGAACGCAACGAGGTGGGATTATTTTCGTCAGAACACGACGAGATGGGATTTATTTCATCTAAGCTTATGAACTGGGCTCATTTTCTACTGAACCATCGATATACTGAAAACACTATATAAATAAGTCCTTTTTAATGATTAGTTCAGTGATAGTGACTAACAGAAAATGTTGAACCATTTCAACTACTTGAAAGGTAAAGTACCCAGTAGTTGGACACTTTTGACAGTCAAAATTATTTTTCCGCCTTCTAACCTCAAAATAGCACCTTCGCCGCTTGATTTTGAGTTCTCAGGCGGAATAATATTATACGAAACTCGTTCGAAAAGGCTTCTTTACGAACCTTGTCACGGCCCTCGCCTTCGGCTCGTGCCGTAAACCTCTCGGTTCGTAAATCGAAGCCTTTGCAAACTCGTACGTAATGTACTATTTGCTGATTTATAATAAACTAACCAAAAATGAGGTTAAAAAAAATATTGCATTAATTATTTAAAATTTTTTTTGTTTATTAGAAAAAAAAAATATCAGGTTTGTAAGCAAAGAAAAAATAATATCAAAGAAAAATCATTAAGACCCAGTATCTGGGCACCAGTGTCCAGGTACTAGGACCAACATGAGACTTGGTACCAGCAGTTGGATACCTCATATTAATTAAATGGAAAGGAGGTTAAGGTAGACCTAATTTCAAAATGCTTTCTCACATCTCTCAACCACTCAATGATTATAATCTTTTTCACTAGGTACATGGTATCTATAGTTTCTGAGCTCGTCGTTGGCTCAATGGTTAGCATGCTAGCCTCCGAAACAACACAGCTCAAAGGGGTCGTGGGTTCGATTCCCGGTCGGGGGTACTCAGATTTTTTCTGATGGTTCTTTCCGGGTATTGAATTCATAAAACCGACTTAGGATAAAGATTTAGTTTTGAAGATGAAAAGAAAAATAAAAGCGATTGAAAAATAAAGAATTGTGTGACGAGCTCTCGATAACCGGTCCTGCGTGACCGGGGAGATAAAAAAAGGTATGATATGCGAATAATAAAGAACGAAAATGTGTAATGACAAGCGAAAATAAGATAAATGTATAATGATACGATGAGAAACGACATGTTAAAAAGACAATGTAAATGTTGAATGAATAAAGACAGTGTACATACCCACAGTAGGTCAGTACACTATAATATAAAAAAAAAAAACCTATAGTTTCTGGTCATCATTCAACTTTATTTTAGTTTTCAACAGTAACATTAACATGTTATATTTAGTAATAATCAATAATTTTAAGTGTTTTTTACGGTCGAAGTACCAGGTATAGGAAAAATCTTATGTTATCGAATAGAAGCTATTCTTGGTAACATTTTGTTAGGTAACTTTAGTTAGAAAATAACTTGAACGTTCTACGCCCAACTATAAATTATAATTTTTAGCGATTACACTCCTATGTTATTAAAGGGATTTATTTTTGGACAGCAATCTTACATGCTTCGCATTTAAAACATATTTTTTTTACGTAAAGAGTTACAAAGATAAATTTTTTCATCAGGCATTATTATGCATTGATGGATTATAAATAAATTTTTTTTTCTTATTTGAAAACGTCTTCTATTCGAAAATGTTAATTATATTGTCCAACTACTTGTGCTGTTTTTATTTCTGTCCAACTACTGGGTACTTAAAAGACAAGCAAAAAAAAAGTAGATGTTATCAAAGTATATGAAAATTTCTTGTTTTATTTTACAAAAAAATTATGAACATCACATAAGATGAAACACAAAATGCAAACTATTCACATCAGTAAAATAATACAATTTTATTCGGTTTCCTTGCGTTGTCTCCTCGCTGGATATGAATATGGCGTAGCTGCAAAAGAAATCGATTCGTTGAAAAATTGTGAAAAAAAAATAATGAAAAAATGAATTTCATAAATAGGAGAAAGTGGAGCTATTTCGCATACTTAATATAATCTTTTTTTTTTATTTATAGTTTGTCTATTTTTGAATGTCTTGAAAGAATTTTACCGTCTTTGCCGTAAAAAAAAAATTAGCACAGCAAAAAATAATTCTAACTAAATTTTTTTTGATTTGAATTCATCCCATCAATAAATAAATGAATTTTTTGAAAAATATTTTTTTCAATATAACATACTTTTAGATCACCGTTTGGTTAAAACCTTGAAAATTCGTATATAATGAATTTTAATACATTTGGTAATTTGGAAAAGCCCGATTTTCGATTCCGTTCACGAGGGTTCTGAAATACTTAACATTGCCATTCAAAATTATTAGTTAATACTAAATTTCTAATTAATTATTATTTTAATGAACAATGTAATTCAATCAAAATGTAATTGATACTTGAAAAGTACGAAAATTATCTTGTCTTATTATTTATTCGACGTTTGGGTACTTAATTGGACTCCGTTACGGCACTTCTCATGTTTGTTTTATTGAGTATTTAATTTTTGTACCGTTTTTATAACTGACTGCGACGGCACGTTATTACCACTAAAGAGCCAGAAGCTATCACAGTGATAATGGAACATGTGAAGAAAAAAAACCCACAGAGATGCCGCAAAAAAAAAAAAGAAAAAAAATTATCAATTACATTTAATTGTTGCTTGATAATGACTTTCACATAATAATAAAGTTAACTGTACACTAACAATAATTCAACGTAACGTTTAACACCAAACAGCATTTAAATAAAAATTATGTTTAATTTTTAGTAAATTTGGGATTGAAAAAACTTAAAATAAACAATTGAAAAAAAAGTGAAAAATATCCTTTTTTTGTCCCCCATTTTAACATGGCTTGGACGATTAGTACCGTACCTAGGGTAGGGCGCAATAAAGGCCCCTAAAAAAAAAAGCTTTTCAGCGGTAAGTTTTTCAAGAAATATGGTTATTTCGATAAAACCAAAGTACAAGATCAAAAAATTGCCAGAAAAGTACCATGAAATTATGATTGTGAAAATTTGGAGATGTTGCGAGGCAAGCCAGATAAATATTTGATACTTTTCATTCATTCACTTTTTCACTTTTGAGTAGGTGTTAAACTGGTGAACTCAAAAGTCTGATGCAAATTAACCCCACTATTCCCTTGTCGATACACAGTCGCACTTACGTTTCTGAGTAGTGGTGCTCTGCGTATTATTGTGTCCTGGAAAACAGGAAGGGTCGCATCTGTATTGATAGAGGAAGCACATGGAACAGTCGATCGATGGTTGCTGCTTTATCATATGTTGAATCAAAATCACGTCAAATTATCATCAGGATCACACGACGATAGTTCATTCGCGAAAACTACATACCGGTTGTGGATATTTTGGGAAACACGGCCACGGGTACATGCAGCCTCCAACTGGTCCAGCACCAAAACCAATGGTTATTTGAGGCATGGCTTGCCATGGATTGTACGGGTAATTATTGTTGCTGTTGCAATTGCATCCAGTGTTAGCTGTGTGGTAAGACAAGATCAAAAGAACATAATTATGAACCAAGAACACTTATTAAGTCCAAGTGATAGATTTGTGTAAAACTTTTGAAACATATGTCCCTTACTTTAAACATGGGATAATCCAGAATACTTAGCATTTTTATTCTAATGTTGTAGCCAACAATCGAAATTCAAATTAATTTCTAGCGCTTGTACTTTGACCTCTTAAAACGATACCTATAATGTTTAAACCAGATATACAGATAACCTGAAGTGAAAGCCTAAAAACCAATCAATTCACGCGCGTACTTACGAACCTCTAAATTTAAGTCTCGCTAATTTAAGTGTTTAAGCTACTTGATGGTGTTTTAGTTTATTCTTTTACCTTTCATTTGATTTCATGCACTTGAATACTTTCATATTAGTGTTCTTTTTCATACACTGCTAACCAGTTATCCTATAAAAGCTTAATCCGTAAGAGCATCCTACCCTCCTCAATATGTTGCAACCATGTAGGATCATGTGTCTTCGGTTGATAAAATAAAATTCGAGTGCTACTTCTAAACTGCACATTTCGATATGTATCCTTACGAATTTTGTTATTTAAAACTAAATAATTTATGAACAAAACCATTTGATCACAAATGTCTTCTTTGATATCTAGGATTTCACTTCAGCTGTCGATCATTTAGATCTGGTGAAAGACAAGTAGATATTTGCGTGTGATCAAGGTAAAAGCGCCAAAAATTCTTTCGATACACTTTTATGTGTTTCAACTGTTCGTCACAAAGTGTTAAAGTTCAGGACCGTATAGCAAAATGATATATCGAAATTCATGACCCGGACCTCACAAGTCCTAAACAACGAAGCAACTTGAAATCCAGATCATTAACATCTTCGGATTTTGAAAAACAAAAACATCACCGATAATGAAAAACTCACACAAAAGCTGCAACAAAAGCATGCAAAGCACTCACGACACGGGCAGTCCTGGTCCCGCGATCCATAGTGGTTATTGATCTCGTTATGAATGTCAATCCTGGGTATACTGTAGTTCTGCCCACCGGGCAATCCTGCGATTGGACCATGCCCTTCTCCAGTAGTGGTACCCCCAGTGCCTCCTCCTCTTTCTCCTCCTCCTCCCCCTCTGGACGTCGGTCCCTGGGAGGTCGTCGACGCTTTGTCCGTACAGTTGGTCACGTTCGGCAGGATGTTGTGGATGTGGATGTTCGTGGTGATGTTGGGCACCACAGCACCACTTCCGCCAGTCTTGCACTCCTCGCCGTTGCAGTCGTAGATCGTCTCCACAACTTCCCGATAGGTAAGCCTCGTCCGACAGCGCTTGTAACAGTCCTGGATGCAGGCGCTCGTCGTACAGTTCGTCTCAAAACACTCGTTCAGACAGTTGCGCTTCAGGCCTCCTCCTGAACAATCATCAAGACGTCTTTTTCACACCGAGTGATCCGATTCGACGATACTTGCGAGTCAACTTTGCAAACTTTGAAAAAAGCATAAAAGCAACCCAACGTCCTACCTAGCCCATCGGTGTGCTGTCTCTTCTCGCGTTTCAGGCACTTGATGTACGTCCTGTAGTCCTCGTGCTGGCACTCGATCAGCAGCTTGTGTTCCCTGTCCGTCTCCCCCTGCACGTCGTGAACCTCGTTGTTGGCTTGGTGCTTGTGGCGCCTGTGGGCAACGTTGGCCTCCAGGACGCAGACGATCCCCAAGAGCACCCCGACCGCGAGATAAGCCCTCGAAAGTTTCATGACTGGCGTTTGGGTCGCACTCCCGCGCCGACATGCCCGGGGCCCGCATTTATACGTCTCCCAGGACGGGAGGTAAACGACCCGAGGTGGCCGATTTTTATTTTCGCCCCGTGCAGCCAGATAAGCCGATTTCCCGTGTGCTCGCGCGCTGTTTGTTCAGCGTTTGTCTCCGCCTCCCCTCCGAAGGGGGTTGGCAAATTTGCACTGCTTATCATCCGCCGTGATGCGGAGGAGCTAGACGGGCCAGTTGACGTGCAGGCGCCTCCTGCCTTTGGATTGTACAACGCGGCTCTTTTTTCCCTCCCGTTCATATATAGGTACGCCCGAGTGATGTGTTTACGTATGCGCGCGTTGACAGAATACCTTATTATATATACTCACTTGGTTGTGTGCCTTTTGACTATCCTCCGCGGAGACTCTCGCCGCGAATTTGCGCGTTTATGCACATTCGTGTGTGTGTAATACATCATTCGTGCTTGCGTTGCGTAATGTGAGTTCTCTGCGCGTGGCGTTATTAGCTAATTTTCGTTTGTGATGATTTATACAAAAATTCGAGGTTCGACAAATTATTGTTTATTTTAATCATCGGAAGCAGTTATTGTATGTGCATTTGATGTTGGATTGTTGAAAATTTTATGGTCACATGGAAAAAGAAAAATTAATAACTTTCTAAAATTATAAACAGGAGCTTTTGGTTTGAAAAACAAACGTATCCTTACTTATAAACTGAGCAGAAGATTCGATTCCAGTTAAAAGCACTGAGCGGAAAAAAAGCACGCAAGTAAAATTGCAAAATTACCAGTCATGACTCTCAGTACGCCATCTTGGACACGTTAATTTATGCTCCATGGTTTTTTTCCATTTTTTTTTCCTAATCACAGAAGCTGCATATGTTTCAGTACAAACACGTGGAGTGCCTCTAGGGTTTGTCTTGAGAAAATATGAAGGAGGAAATGCCAAGACTGGAGGCAGTACTCACTGCATATGTTTATAATTTTTACAAGATAAGCTTTGGCAAGTATGCATTTCATTTTTGCGTTCCGCAATCACTAAAACAACTCGTAGAGCGAAACGAACTGATGTCACCGGTAATTTTTGTAAATTATACAAGGTTGTGGTTGAATATTCATTAGAGTAGGAGGGCGTGTTTGTTTGTTTGTTACGGAAATAATAAATCTCAATTATTTACCAAATGACATTTTTAGGTCTACGTACGGATGTAATTTATGAAAATGTGTAAAATTTTGCACCTTTAGGGATTTTGTGCCAAAAGTTGTTTTCTCATAGAAATTTTGCTGGAGGGAGCATGCAATGCTTCGACTGCAAGACTAACAAAGAAAGAGAGGGCCCGTAAAGCAGGACATGCTTTCTCTCTCTTACACTCCGATAATTGGCTACATACTCTGCTGTCGTTTAACTAGTGGATGAACGTGTTAAAATGACACGAAAATTTGGTCTATCTCCATTGAGATAGTAAAGCCTAATATCTTCATTTTGTTACTATTATTTTAAAAAGCAATGAAAATTCGTGAAATATTTCTACGCTTCATACATCAACATATAAGGAAAGCTCACACTTTAAAGATATTTGTTAATAATAATGCTTAAGTTTTTCCAAATGTAAGTTTTGTAATGTAAGTTGTGTTGTTGGGTATATTTCCGTATTAATTTTAAAAAACTATCAATGATTTTTTTATAAAATAGATAACTAACTGTAAATTGTACAGGTTGGAAATGACTGAGGGGTGCTGAAATGACATACAATACATGTACATGTAATTTCTCCGATGGTTACGAGTATCTATATTGACTTCAACATGAGTTAATATTTGACATCTTCGAGTTCCGGGTACATGAAACTTGGTGAAATATTTGATATTGCTAATAGTAATTACTGTAACTATAATGTTTGTTTTGAAACAAAAGTATAGATTATTCTAATATATACACAAAATATTATGTTTTAAAAAAAAATCTGAATGTCTGATAGAAAATCCGAGAATAAACTCAATTTAAAGGCAGAAAATATTTTATTTTGTTATTGATAAAACAGATTAGAATAGTAAGTAAAACCATGCAACGATAAGTGAAAGTAAATGATAAAAAGTGCCTGTTATTTGTCCATGAACAACAGCAACGCCCACTAATAAAAATAATGATTTGTATTTTTCTCATGACTGATTATGATTGACCTAAAGAAGATACTCAAAGTACACGGATAACATCATGCACCTCAAGTAGTCCAAAAATTCAAATTCCATCGACAGTATGACCCGATTCTTTTGTACAGTTACCGATGATGGTGGCGATGATTCAGACGTTGGTAATATTCAGGTCGAACACACCAAGCCTTTTATGGGTCAATAACCTTATTATGTATCCTAATTCCTCACTTGATAAAGTCAGATTAGATTCGTATCTATCCTTAGTGAATTATACGATTGATTGTTACAGTTTGAAAGTGAACAAGTTCAATTAAATGTAAAAGAAAATGAAAATCATAGTTATGATTTTTCTCGGCTGAAATTTAAGATCTGTTGGAAATATTACGTTATCGTTAAGGAGATTCATCTCATAAAGTTATGTAGGAGAAGAATCGAACAAAAATAAAAAATTTCGTATTTTAACATACGTAAGGCCTCATGAGAAACAAAAGTTTTTTGACTCGTGACAACGAAATTCAGATTGATGAGATGATGTATGATAAAATAGATGTTGTGTTGGATGTGCCCGTAAATTCTCAATTATGTTTGAGCATGATTTTTTTTACTCATCACATATTGATGGAGTTACTTTGAAAAGTAAACGACATTGCTTGTATCGTTCAAATTAAAGTCCTTTTAATTTTCCGCCTTGGTTCTACACTATCAGACAAGTAATTGCTCCAAATATTATTAGTATAGGTAAAAAATGTATCGAAAAAATTAATTCACTAGATTAGATTTCCACTGTTTTTCACTCAAAATGTTTGTTAGTAAAAAAGAGCTTGTAACAAAAACCCTTCGACCAAATACCGTGCAACTTTATTCGCCAGACGAATGAATTATCGTATAACATATTTGTTGACATACATCGAAGGGTGACATCAAACAAAAAACCGTAATTTTCCTCGACACCTCTTCAATCTCATCATCCCCATACCTTAAGAAACCATCGAAACCAAGCCCGCCCAGATGGTCTTTGAAAATTCATCGAACATAATTCAGGTCAATCAGCCAAATCCGAGTGTCACGCCCTCTCCTCGCGAGCACGACTTATATATATATATGCCCATCCGCATCCGCACCAACTCAACATACACGCGTGTGCCTAATACCTGAACAGAATAACAAAAAGTCGCTCACGTTCTCGCATCTCTCTATATTATACCGACGTGCTCCAGCCACACGGCTCCCGGCAGTTCCTCATACATCTACTCCGCGCGCTGTACGCATACCAATGCGATACAAAGCACCAAACTCGCGGACAATAGGCAAATGTACATGCCCACGAGACGCTCTTTCAAGGCCCAAAGTCTGATGTACACACGCGAGCTCTCAAAGTGACATTTGCTCGCTAATTTTCGCCTCGTAAAAAATTGACTCCCGCGACACTTGTAAGCGCGAATGTTACGCAGCGAGTTGTCGTTTCAATGGGGAGCCTATATCTAGCGCAAACAATCGCTCGTATCGCGGCTGATCAGGAAGTGGGACGAGCACTGGCTCTCTCTGTGTTTTGTACATTTTTTTTTTTTTTCCATTATTTATTTCTCCGTCCGATATTGGCGAGCGAGGAAAACGCTATACGTGTACATAGAGTATGGGTGTAAACCGTTGTTGGCTGGCGAGCGAGCGTTATTAATTTTCGAGGGATGCAATTTACGACGCAATGAAGCACGAGTTATACGCGCCTTGTCTTCTTGTCCAGTTCTGCAGTCTGGCATTTTTACTCAAGTGATCTGGCGCGGTACACATCGAGGAAATTTTTCACACTGCGGGTATATATACATGGGTGTATTTGCATATAGGCGAATTTTATTGCGGGGTTTTGGTTGTAAATGAAAAGGGCGAAGTTGCTCGTTAAATCCTATTGCCGAGGCTGCTTTTTCTACCCACATTGAGTTAAAGGTACGCCGTGATCGAGTTTCGGTGACTTTTTCTTTTATTATACGTTAAAATTGTGGTCGTAAAAGATCGTTCGAAGGTACGATTCACCCCTAATTGTGCGGCAAACACACCACGATTTTTTACTAGTGTGGATTTCTGTAGATCCTTGCACCACGTGTATGGAGTAGTGTACGAAATAACAACTTCGTACTCTGATGTACAGAAAAGCAGTTTTATAGTTGTAACCTTCGCACACGGAGCGTCAAAAAACGTAAGCAGCTCATGTTTTCGGTGATGGTCGTACTATGAACATCCATCCATCAAATTTTTCATCTACGTATTTGTAATTATTTTTGTTTTACTATACACTCATTGGAAATAATCTGACTTTTGATGAGCGTATAGTGCTAGTATGTTTTCTACACCATGTGGTAAGTTTTCCACAAACTTCGTAAATTAATTACGTCTACAGTATTTTCTTTTGTGGTGGTTTCTTTTTGTTCATCTCTAGATAGTTGATAAAGTAAGCAATACAAAAGGCAATTTTAATATTTCGTTGTGCGTTGATGAGGAGACCCATACATTTTTTTCACACCTCACTTATCTTCATGACTTACAAAAAAGATTTTTCAAGAGCACAACACGCTTAAGGCATTTACTACACCAACATCGTCGATTTGTTGCAATATTAGTTTACAAAATTACTCTGTGTATTGTAGAAAAATTACTACGTCAAGAATAGGTCAGATTATTCCCAATGCGAAGCATAGTGACATCACAAAGGTGACATAGTATTTTTATTTAATGAGGAAAACTAAAACTACCAAGAACTGCAGTAATTTGTAAAAAATTGTCTTCAACATGCAGTACTCAGATATGCATCAGATTAATCTACTTTTTGGGGTACAAATAACGTGTATATTTAAAAATCAAGTTGCTACCCGTCATCGCTCAACTTTTTAATCACTGCTCCAAACCAATTACTGTCATTAATATACGCGCGCCACTGGGAAACACGTATTTCTCGTTCTCAACATATGGATAAATTAATAATGTATATTGAATATTATCATGGAGTGATTCACACGCGGAACGTATTCCTCGAATTTTTGGAGCCACGAAAAAAGCGTCACCGCAACTTTTCCGTTCACCAATAAAACAAACAAATAAACAAAAAATAGTGAATCATCGCGACGTGCGTAAATTTATTTGATAAACACGTGCTAATTTTTCGAAGCAGCAAAATTTCATGAGTAAAAAATGTTAAAAAAGTCAGTCACCAAAACGAAAAACCCTTCGCCAAAGCTCGTAAAATCAAAGAAGGGCAGCGAGTGATTTTAATCGCCGCGGAGACTTGGGTGCACAGGAAAAAGCGTCCGAGCTCCACCTCATGGCTCATAATGGTATTCCGTGCGCGCTCGGCCGGTTATCGAGCACCATGGGTGAGAATGGGCGTATGATGCGTATGCTCTAACGGTACTTACGAGCCGCGCGTGAGCCGAGACGACGCCTCTCTGTTAGAATATAGCGATGCTTTGAGGATAGGAGGAAAAATTAGGCGGTGGATGCAACTTTTCCGAGGAACCTGGAGATAACATCTTTATTTATTTATTTTTTTGTTTTTAATAGAAATGTATTTTATACGTGCCTTGATTTTCGTATGAATGGTACTGATTTAGGAACGGATTTTAAATTTTAAATGAAGACTCGCACGGGTGATTCAAAGGCACACGCCGTTAATGCGAGGCAATTTATAAATTCCACCATACGAATGGGTGGAGTAAATTTAGATATTTACACACGTATGCAAGGTGATGGGTTTCCTCGGTGAGTTGTTGAATGTGAGCGTAAGAACATAAATTGATAGGAGACTGGAATAATATACATGTCTTGGGTGGAAGGAAGTTTAGAAAAACAAGTGAAGTAATAATACGGATAATGTGTGTACACGAGGTGCCTGTACTCATAAGACTTATTGTTTACGTAAGAAGATACGCGCGGCCGCCTGTAAGGTAATCCCCCTTTCCGTCCAGGGCACTTTTACTTTTACAATACAATGGAAAGTCACTTCATTGTGATTAGCAAGTTTTTTTAACATCTTTCTTTTTTCCCAACAGCGGTATCGATTCACATGTGGACGCGTTGCGTGGAAGTTTGTTTACTTATTTATTTATTTATATATTTTTTTACGCCACCATTACAACTCCTACATACACAGTGAGATAACAAGATTCGTAAGAACTTGCTCGATTGACTGCATTGTAGATCTTGTATTTTTCAAGGAGGTATTGATGCACCTGTACGCAGTGGTGGTTTGAGTAAACGATGGCATAAGAACACAAATTTTATGTAAATTATGGGCCATTTACTAAATATATACGTAAATTTCAATGAGAAGCATAAAAAATGAAACTTTAATTTGTGCATGATCTCTTTTTCATTCGATAATAAGGCGAGTTTATAAAAAATAAAAAAAAATCTCGTGTTCTATATTTTAT